GACCGTTCTTCAGTCTTTCTTTGTCTTTTATGAACTTGGAACTTTTGAAAGCAACCCTGGTGGCGTAGTGGTTAAGTGCTACGGCTGCTAACCAAAAAGTCGGCAGTTAGAATCCACCAGGCGCTCCTTGGAAACCCTTTGGGGCAGTTCTACTCTGTCCTGTAGGGTCGCTATGAGTCAGAATGGACTCAGTGGCAACGGGTTTGGTTTCTGGTTTTGCCAGTTATTTTGTAGAATATTCCTCAATTCGTGTTTATTTTCTCATGGTTGAATTGAGATTGGGGTTTTTTTTGCAAGACTATCACGGAAGTAATGTATTCTTCCAAGTTACCATATTAGGGAGGTACATGATGTTACTATGCTTCATTCCTGATGTTAACTTGGATCACTTAGATAATTAAGGTGGTATCTGCCAGGTTCTTCCACCATAAATTTACTATTTTCTATTTGCAGTTAGTGTCTTGTGGGGAGACGTGGAAAGCGCACAAATTTTGTGTTTCTCATCATCCATTTGCCCACTTATTTTACCATCCATTAATGATTTTTGCTTGCCACATTTATTACTGTGGTATTTGCCAAGCAGTGATTTTCTATTTCTATCTTTCCTTCTATATTTTTTAATTGGAATTCAACGGCAAGGAAGAGCTGTTTCATCTATCCCATGTATTTATTATTTGACTATTTATATCTCTATGGTCCATGGTTATTTATTTATCCCATGGTTTTAAATTCATTATTAACATTAAAGTATTTTTGGAGTCCCTGGATGGTAAAAATGGTTAAAGCACTCGGCTCCTAACAGAAAGGTTGACAGTTCAAGTTCACCCAGAGGTAACTCAGAAGAAAACCTGACGATCTACTTCCAAAGGATCCGCCTTTGAAGACTCTGCAGAGCACAGTTCTGCTCTGATAGACATGAGGTCACCGCGAGTCAGCACCAACTTGATGGCAGCTGGTTTCTTACACACCTTACTGCTCACGTTGCTCGCCTGGAATCAGCCATTTCTCTGGAGCCCTGGTTCCTTTGATTTGGAAAACGGTGTTTAAAAGCCATATTGTGGATGCTAGGTGTGTTTGTTTTTACTGGGAGACTATTCCCTAAGGCCTTCTCTACAGTCTGTTTGTTTTTATTGACTAATCTCTGTTCATATTTTTATTTTTCCAGCCTTTTATGTTAGGTACTTAGCTCACTCATGTTTTAGTTTAAAAAAAAAAAAAGTAAGCATCTAATGGTATAAATTTCCCTCTGGGTACCACTTACATTCATTACTTTATTCATCCAATATTTAATGAATGCCTACTCAGCCCTCTGTAGGTGTTTGGGACCCACCCACTGCCGTTGAGTCCATCCTGACTCATAGCGACCCTATAGGACAGAGTAGAACTGCCCCATAGGGTTTCCAAGGCTGTAAATCTTTAGGAAAGCAGACAGCCACATCTTTCTCCTGGGGAGTGGCTGATGGGTTTGAAGCACTGACCTTTTGGTTAGCAGCCGAGCGCTTTAACCACTGTGCCACCAGGGCTCCAGGTGCTTGAGACACACCTGAATAAAGCAAAATGTTTCTGTTTTTGAGGTGCTTACATTCCAGTAGGGGAAAACAAGTAATAAATATGTGCTCTAATTGCATCCCGTTACTTCTGCTTCTCGACTGTATCTGGGATTTGCTCATTTCTCTTATGTACCATTAACACCCTCGTGTGAGCTGTAGTCCTCTCTTGCCTGATCTGTCAACTTAAAGCCCACCTGGCCCACTCTGTCTCCTCTTCAGCCTGGTCTCCACACTGGAAGACAGTGATCTGCTCAGAATGCAAATCTCCAACTACACCCTTAGCTTTTAAAACCTTTCATTAGACAGAAATTAATAACTGAATTTGTGTCTGGCTCTTCACTACTTCTCCCTATTCTTGCTCAGTTATTTTCTTTCTTGCTCGATTATTTTATTTTCATTCTCCTAGTACCTTTCTTTCCCCTTTATGTTTATTGTAATTGCAGCGTTACATTTGTGTATGAATATTTGTTGAGTGTCTGATTTCTCCATTTGATTGTAAAAGCAGGGCCGTGTCTGTTTCTTGTCATAATTTTATTCCACTAGTTAGAATCGAGCTTGACCTACAGGAGAAAATAAATAATTGTTTCATTAATTGACGGTTGATTATTCCACCATAAGGAGATCTCCATGGTACTATTGTTGTCAGCTGCTGTCAGGTTGGCCCCCCAATTCATGACAAGCCATGCACAATGGGATCTGATTGTTGAGATCCATAGGGCCTTCATTGTCTGATTTTTCAGAAATAGATTGCCAGGCCTTTCTTCCTAGTCTGTGTTAGTCGGGAA